GGACATAATGCAAAAATCGATTTTCCGGCATCCTCGAAACGCTGCTTCGTCATCCACATCCCTGAAATTTCATGCCGTCTTTTGCGGCGCAAAACAATTTTTGAATTCAACCATAAGGTGAGTGTTTACAAATCCAATAAAGAGAAACACCGCTGATCTGTAATTCGACTGCTCTCTCATCGTATCTCAGGTACTTTATGGCTCAGCAAAACCACCAACACCACAAAAACAACATACAAAAACCAACCAACAAGTGTTTGGTGTTGTGTTTCGGCCTTTTTACCAAATTCACGACTCCTCAATACGAACGCTTCCAACGCCATTATTGCCTTCTCCTCGTCGTTCAACTGAACGTAGTATTCGGCCACCTAAAAACATGATTTGCGTCACTTACTACATGCGAAAACATACAACCCTATCAAATGAACCAAAGAATCAACCATTCAAACGATACGTAACTGGCGTGAATAGCGATCTTTTATTCAATCCCAATTATTACATTCATTAATAATGATTAGTGAGAATTGTACCGTTTTAATAAGTGTTTGAAACCAATCGAAATCCACTTTTGCAGACGAATGATCGATATTTTGTGCGGCCAGCAGACGTGTCTTCATTGCGACCGGTCGTAGACCGATCATATCCAACGTTTCGATTCGCTTCTCATAATGCTTCCAGTTCGTTGGTTCTACTCTCAGGGCTGAAATTCAAACACTCATCTCCTTTGCCTATTCACATCTTTCAAGTGGACTATTCTACAGTGGACTATTTAACTATTCTACAAGTGGCATGCCGAATCTATTTTGCATGTGTTAAATCACAAACGAAATAAAAACACAACGAAATTTCTCCTTATAAGGTAGGTAAATGCAGAACGAGCAAAATAAAGAACCTCAAGGAATTTGCAATACCTTCAAAAACAATCTGAATTCGTCGAGTCAGTTACCCAAAACCGGTTCCTTACCACTGATTAATTCCACTTTACTTACGACAAATGGAATAAAACCACTGTTTATATGATAATCAATGCTGGAGTTAAGTTTCTTCGAGAATGTCACGTTCTTCATCAATTTGGATATGACATTACTCTTATAGAAATGGGACAGACCTCGTCCGTAACACGCAGCTGCCTCTTCAATTCGTTGCAGACTCTGCGCCAGATCTCCGAGTTCAACCCACTCGTCAGCCGGTGTTCGATTATTCAAATGTGCTGCCAATAAGCCGTATTGTAGAGATTTATGCGGCTGATTCATCTCCTTATAGATATCTGCCACCAATCGATAAGCATCCGGACTGCGTGGCTCTTGTCGAATCACCTAAATTAATCAGCTTATTGTTTAAAAACACGAATTCCATAGTTCATTCAACTCAAATACAATACTAAAACAAAAATTTCTCCACTGTTCTCCACAGATGAATACCCGTGGAACAGTGAACGCAAATAATCAGCAAACCCAAACCTCTAACAACATAGTCAACGCTTCTTTGGTTTGACCCCTGGCATATATCACGTTTGCTTGTCCAAGTAAGGCATCCAGAGTTCTGAACATTCGGACAATATCAACAACAACCGCTAATCAAACGAACAAAACGAACTGTAACAACGTTATCAACGAAACAATAACAATAGTTGAGGATAACTATTATAATATTCATAATAATGAGACGAATATTTACTGATGAAACAAACTTATTAAGTTTATTGCGTTGTGGTGCAGTCATAGGCGATGGTTTTGTTGTGTTACGTCCAGCTGCTTGATCTGATGACATACCGCTGTTACGCAACTCAAGCGGGATTCCCAACAAACGATCCTCGTCGATCTCCTCACCGTTTTTAGCCGTTACAACAATCCGCGATAGGTCAGATTTGATCACTCTCGAGCCCGGATGAACTGGTACAGAGCTGAGTGGTCGCTGAAATTTACCGAAACTCAGTCGCCGTCAATTCGCATCAATTCAGTGAATTATATGCATGGAGGGAATTTTACTGCCGTATAAGAACTCATTTCGTAATCTTAGTACACATTCAAATTTTAACACTTCTTTATGAGAATTTGTCTGCAAGTTTGAGTCCAAGTTGCTGGACAAATTTCTGTCTCCAGACTATTCATTCATGTCGGGAACTTGAATAACTTTATGAACGATAGTTCCGAACCATATCTTCATCCGATCAAATATTGAAGGAAATCATTGAGATTTTAACTGAACACATTCAAAAAAGAATCGAATCTTGACATCTACATACCATAAGCGGTGAAAATGCACTCGTTGACGGCCCTGCCTCGTTCTCTTCCACATCACTTCTAGCATCATCTTCGACATCCTCGTCATCGCTGAAAATTAAGATCCTTCGAATATTGAGAACTTTCTAAAATACTGACAATGAGATCAATTTAGTGTTTCTTGATATCAGCATCTCTTAGCTTTAACGATCCATTTGTGATTGCTAAAAGACTCAATCGACTGAGAAACTTACCGATTCAGAACATTTCAGCTGTACAAGAAAACACAAAATATCACACAAAATTTTCAGCTCAATGAAATCATAAAAACGAATAATTCATTTCCTAAAATTTCAGTCTCTATAGCAAACGATTAGATTAGTTATCAAACAAGACAGCAACTAACTTTGCAAGTGCTGGATCGCGACGTTGACTGCGTTGTCGTTTCGTTAAGGGGACTGGCTCTTCAACTGAAATCTCAATTTTTAATCGATTTTATGCACAAACAACCGCTCTCTGATAATTCATCTGATCGAGGCTATCATCATAAAATATGGAAAAATTTTGAGATGTTCAGAAAATACTGTTTCCTCCAAACGTACATTCATCGTCTAATATCGAATCATCGAAATCAGCTGCTTCCTCATTTAAACCAACACCACCTGAAGATATCGTTCGAAATTAGTTTCCATTCTGGAATCAACAATGACCAAAGCAGACAAAAACATCTACCAAGACCGATCCTTTCGTTAAGCATGATGATCTTTTTCATGAGATGCTACTAGTAATTTCACTAAATCATTCGTTGAAAACTCAAACAGAACAAATACTTTTCTACAATTACACAAACAAACCAACAGTTATAATCTAACACCAAGAAATCACTGGAAACATGCAATGAAATAAATTTTTGGGAAACAAATCACACGTTCCAAATAATGAAATGCCTACCAGTTATGCCCATGAATTCATCATAGGCAATTTCGTTGCGCATGAAGCGTTCCAAAGCTTCGTTGTACTCCACATCCATTGCATTCAAATCGCCATCAGCATTCGATAAACAACCCAACTGCGCACTTACGTCCATACCACTGATTGTACCGTCGATTTCGATGGGTCGTTGATAAGTTTTTGTCCTCGTTGCTTCATGTTGCAAGTCTGAATTACGATAACATCAAATTAGCGCATCACCTTTATGAGATTTGATGACTTTATAGTGAAGTAAGCTTCCATCCGTGAACGAACGATCATCAAAACTCACAGTCTGCAACGTTCGACTGTACACTATCTTGTCGAACCCGCATCGGCACCAAATCGGCGAAATGACTATTGGATTCACTCATAACTGCAAATTTTTCGCCGTAGTTCTCTGCCTGAAAACCATTTCTATTAACAAATACGCTTTTTGTAAACGGTTTAACGTCTTCGTTTTGCTTTTTTTGCGGATATTATTTGTCCATTCAGATACGAGAGTACAGACGTGATTAATTTGACTGAATAAAAACAAATGAATTCATTCGCATCTCAAATAATACACACAATGACGTAAGTAGATCAATATGAGTAAATCAAATTGGCATTAGTGTTCGTGATCGGATGGTGATGAAGAACTGAAATTTATGAGGACGCTGCTGGGGAAATCGAATCCATCGAATAAATCTTGCACACAAATGAGCTCGGATTCACAAATCAATCACGATGGCAGCACATAAACAAATCAGGATGACACAGCGACTGTTCAGCTAACAATTCAAACGCATCGAGGGACAATTTCAAAAACAAAAGACGAATGAAAATCAGTAATCTTGCAGTACGGATCATACCACTGATTGTACCATTTGTCGAAAGTAATTAA